GGCTGATCGTTCCAATGTTGTTGCTGAATCTGATATCTTGGAAGTAACATGTACTGAATTGAATATGGGAAAAGCTACTCCTTAACAATTAGTCCTTATAGATGATGATTTAAAGTCAGAACTGGGAAAGAAATCTAAATATCGAGCTTTGACTGTTTCTGATAGGGTTTCTAGGAGTAAAGTGGGGGTTTCTGCCCCAACCTCGACTTTTAAATGATTGGTTTCTGGAATGTGAGGGGCTTGAATAAGCCCCAAAAACAAAGGGAGGTCAAAAATTGGATATCTAAGGAGGCCTCTCAGTTTGTTTGCTTTATTGAAACTAAGGTGAAAAAAAATGCTTTTGATTCTATTTCTAGAAGATTAAGATTTAACTGGGAATGGCTACACAACTATGATGCTCATGACTATGGTAGAATTTGGATTGGCTGGAACCTTTTTGTTTTTTCTGTTCAAGCTATTGATGTGAAAATTCAGAGTATGTTACTAAAAGTGAGAATTATAGTGACTGGAGAAGAATTCTTTTGTACCCCTATATATGCTTTGAATATGGCTAAGGATATGAAGGATTTCTGGGATTCTATACAATAATATTCCAATATGGTCACTGGTCCATGGATGGCCATGGGATATTGGAATGCCATTAGATTCTTTAGGGACAAGAAGGGTGGGAGAAAGGTTCCACAGAGACTATTGAATGAATTCAATAACTATTTGGTTTATGCTGGTCTTAGTGAAGTGCATCCCACTAATGGTGATTGGTCTTGGTGTAATAGGCAAAAGATCTTTAAGAGAATTTTTGTCAAACTGGATAGAGTTTTCTTGAATGAGGCATGGCTAGATAAATTACCTGGTACTAAGGTGTTATACACAGCTGCAGCTTGTTCTGATCATTATGGGATTTCTATCCATAATTCTAAAGAGTTTGCTGCAGGTCCTAAGCCCTTCAAAATGTTAAAAGTGTGGTGTCTACAAAGTTGTACTCATTCAATTATGTAGAAAGCTTGGGATAATGTGGTTGGTGGTAACCCTATGCATATTCTTTTGAAGAAATTGAGATTATTGAAGACTGATATTAAGGAGTGGAACAAGAGTTGTTTTGGAGATGTGGGGGAGAAATTAATTAAGGCTAAACATCATCTTGACCAATCCCAGCTGAATTTGTTGAATGCTCCTACTGACACTAATTTTCAAATTGAGCAAGAAGTTAGAGTTGATTATCAGGCTGCTGCTGTGGTTTAAGAGGTTTTGGTTACCCAAAAGTCTCGAATTCTTTGGTTGAAAGATAATGACAGATGTACAGGTTATTTTTACAACAAAATGAAGCAACATAGGAACTTCAATGCTATAATTTCTATGGAGAAAGAGACTGGGAAGACTACTAAGGATCAGAATTTAATCAAAGAATAGTTTGTGGAGTTTTATCAAAATTTGTTTTCCAAAAAAACTGAAAGTCTTCCAGAGGTTATTACTCCTGTTAAAAAGCTTAAAGTTGAAAAGGTTGAGGCTCTTGACAGGATGGTTAATGCTGAAGAGATTAAGGGAATTACTATAAGTTTTAATCCAGATAAATCTCCAGGTCCAGATGGATTCCATGCTCGGTTCTTTCAAACCTTTGGGTCAGTTGTGGGAATGGATGTGATTGCTGCGATTCAATCTTTTTTCAGTACCAGTGTTATGCCTATGGGTGTCAGTAGTTATTTTCTTACTCTAATCCCTAAGGTAGGCAATGCTAAGAAGCTTGGTGAGTTTAGACCTATTGCCTTATGCAACCTATTGTACGAGGTCATTACTAAAATTATGGCTAATAGACTATCTGTGGCTCTATCTTCTTTGGTTGATCCTGAACAAAGTGCCTTTGTGAAAGGTCAAAGAATTCAGGATGCATTGATTTTGGCTCATGAAATGGTTAAGGATTTTAAAGGTCCTAACCATGCTTTCTGGCTCTTAACGTGGATATTAAAAAGGCTTATGATTCAGTTTCCTAAGGTTTTTTGCTAAAGATTCTCAAGGGGTATAGATTCAATGAAGTATAGATTGCTTGGATATCTAATATTCTTACTTTTACTAGATACTCTGTATTGATCAATGGTTCCCCTCATGGTTTTATTCAACCAGGTAGGGGTCTTCGTCAAGGATGTCCTTTGTCCCCTCTGCTGTTTACTCTAATTATAGAACATCTCACTTCCATTATCAATGATGTTGTTCAAAGGAAAAGGCTGTCAGTCACTCTTGCTGCAGCTCAAATTCATCAAATGTTAAGTCATGTCTTTTTTGCTGATGATCTTTTGATTGCCTGTAAAGCTTCAGTCTCTAATGCCAAAATATTAGGAGATTTGTTCAAGAAAATTGAAGATTTAACTGGCCAACAGGTCAGTCCTCAGAAGAGTAGTATTATCTTCTCTAGAGTGGTGAGGAGAAAGCAGTCTATATTAAGAATTCTGAACTGCTCTAAAGATCATTTTCCTACCAAATACTTAGGATTGCTTCTGTGTTCTACTGGTCTAAAGAGAGCTCACTATCAAGGCTTAATTGATAAGATCTCTAATCGGATTAATTGCTGGTGCACTAAGTTATTGTCAGTTGCTGGTAAGGTGGAGCTCATTCGATCAACTGTGACACCTATTTTCTTGTATTGGTGTGGCACTTACAATATTCCAATCTCAGTGATTAATCAGTTGCAGAAAATGTGTAGAAATTTTCTGTGAGGCAGTACTGATCATTCAAAGAAACTACATCTTATGGGCTGAGATTTGATTACTAGGGAAAAATCTGAAGGCGGGTTTGGTTTAAGGAAACTTGTGGATATTCAAGATGCTTCTAAAGTTGTTTTAGCATGGGATTTTTTGACTAGCAAAGATAGGTTGTGGGTGGCATGGTTTAAGAATAAATACACTGCTCACTCAAATTATTAGACTGATATTCCGAAAGTCTCTCATTCAGTTATTTGGAAATCTGTGGTGGAGAAGAGCGATATTATGTTGGAACATGTTAGTTTCTGTATTAGAACTGGTTCAGTTTTTTCTTTTCAAGATCCCTGGTGTAATGGTTTGATAGTTGCTCAGAGGTTTGGCCATAGAGTGCTAAGGTCCTTAAATGTTCCTTGAACATCTGTTTTGAACATTTTAATGAGGAATGGTGGTTGGGATTTGAACAGATTGCAAGGCTATGATTTACAGCAGCTTAGAGAATTTCTAGGTTTGGTGGTGATACATACTGATATGGATAAACTGCTATGGGATAATGGAAGATTTTCTTATAAGAAAGCTTGGTTGGCTATTAAAAATCATTCAGCTGAAGTGGACTGGTATCAGTTTTGCTGGGGAAAAGCTAGACCGTGATGGTCCATAATTGCAATTTTTGTTTTACTTAATAGAGCACCATCTATGGTGAATCTTCAAAAAAGAAAACTTTGTTTGGTGCTAAATGTACACTACGTCATAGTGCCTTGGATACAATTGATCACTTGTTTATTGGATGCTGCTTCTCACAAAAATTCTGGAGATGGTTAAGTGAGTTGTTGTAGTGGAACATGCTCCAGTTTGATACTCTTGTGTCACTCGAGGATTTATTTCATTGGTGTAAGGATCTTAGTTCTGCGAGCTATCATAAAACCTTGTTTGCTGCTGCTATGTAGGGTGTCTGGCATAAGAGAAATGCAAGGTTGCATGGAAATCTTACGGATTCAGAAGTTGTTGCTAAGAGTCTATTGCTGGAGGTGTTGGATATACACAATACCTCAATTTCAGAACTTTTGCTTTAGATTATTTTTGATTTAATGTGCTTGGGCAGTGGATTGTTTTCTATTGATTCCTTGTTTTGTTTGTCTATTCCGGGGTGGATGTATGTATCCTTTCCTACTTAGGTGTGCTTTCATTCTGGGGGAATGCCCTCTGTGCTCCTTTACATATTTTTCTTTTCTTTTTATACAAACACATTTATGAAAAAAAAAAAAAAAAAAAAAATGCTCTAAACCCAAACCTATCCCCCCCCCCCCCCCCCCCCCCCCCACCTACCTATTCTCTCTCTTCTCACCATATGAGAAAACATTCTCTCTTTATGGACCCAAAACTATTCACCTATGCTAAACAATTCCACTCTCCTTCGCTATACTTTCCCACTCCTATCACTCTCAACAAAACACAATCTCCCTCGATCAATCCAAATTTTTCCCTCTCTCTCTCCCCTCTCACTTGATGTATACATATGTAGATAGAAGATTGATTATAAGATTTTGAGATTGCGAGGGCTTAAAAGTTAAGTTGTTAAGAGGGATGTAGGCATTGAATAAGAATACAAATCGTTAGATTTTAAAATGTAGCATGTGAAAAATAACTTACCCAAACTTGTTTGTTAAATCATTTTAAGTCATTTGGGGAGAAAAGAATTTACATGGAAAATGATTTTTTAATCTTGGAGTCTTCCAAACACCAAAAAATGATAAAAATGATTTCCAAAAAATATTTTACTGTGAAAAGAAGGAAGCTAAAAGAATTTTAGAATAAAAACAAGAATGAATGTTTTTTTTAATTTTTTTTTTATTGGCAAGAAACTCTTTTTTACACACTCACATCAGTCGCTTTACTCATTTAAAAACTCAAACCCTTATCATTCACTTTGAAGAATAGGAGATACCACCACTGTGACACAAGGCCCTTCGCTTAAGTATGAATGGTTGAATAATAGTGTACCTCTTTCATTTTGCTCCATTTGTTTTAGATAATATTTTCAGTGTCTTTAGTCGTGCAAAATTATAATGCTGCAAAAATTAACCAGCCCTGGCCAAAAAAAATATAATTCTTCAAAATTTAAATTTCTAATTCTCCATAAAATATATTCATGACTACTTCATCATTCTAGGAAATTAGCCATCTTTGCCCTGACTACTTCGTCATTTTAGGAAAGTAGCCATCTTTGCCCTGGCCAAGGGGCATATTTGGTACAATCTTCCACAAATTTATTTATTCAGAGAACCGTAAACCTAATAAGGTTGCTCTTTAGTACTATATATTGAGATACCAATCACCAAGATCATCTCTTCTTTTTCTCCTTTATGTAACTCTCTCTCTCTCTGTATACATGTAACTCACATATTTGGGTCAGCAGGTCCGTACACCCACATTCGTCATACTCAACGATATCGACAATCTTCAGTTATACGAACTCACATTCATACATATATAAATTGTGTATATGTACACAGCCTAGGGTTAGGGTTTTGAATTTTTTTTTCTTATGGAAGATGACTAATAGACTGCGAGCGTAAACAATTCTTTCAGAAGTCCCAAAGACTCAGCCATGGAAGATGAACCAATAGAAACAGAGGAGCTCGCAAACACAGAAAAATGCGAATTTGTGTCGCAGTCTCTTCCTGAGTTGGGTGATTCGCAGCTTGGTGGTGAGCCATCCATTGTGACGGAGGAGGAAGAAGGCGGTGGAGAGAATGCTGTTACCCTGTTGGGGGATTTGGAGCACATCGTTGTTGAGTCTCCAATTGCCGCCAAGGAGGACAAGGATTGTGAGGCGGTGGCAGAGGAGGAGAATCTGATGGCGGACATTGAACCACAGACAGAGACAGCTAAAGGCAGTGGAGAGAAGTCGGTGGTTCAGGAGCTTGAAATTGAACAAATCGTTGGGGCAGAGACCTCAATTGGTTCTATGGGCGATGGGGATGACAAAGTTGTGGCAGAGGAGGAGAATCTGACGGTGGACAATGAAATGGAAACCGAGACGGCAAAAGGCAATGGAGAGAGCTCTGTTCAGGAGATAGAAAAAGCAGAATTCAATGGTGCAGAGTCATCGGTTGCTTCTATGGAAGATGGGGATGACAAAACTATGTCGGAGGAGGAGAATTTGACCACCCAATTTGAGATGGAGACCGAAGGGGCAAACGGGAGTGCAGAGAAGTCTGTTCAGGGGATAGAAGATGGACAACTAGCTGGTGCGAAGTTTCCTATTGCTTCTCTGGACGATGGGGATGGCAAATTTGTGGCAGAGAAAGAGAATCTGGATACACAAATTGAGAGGGAGTCTGGAGAGTCAATAGGCAGCGGAGAGGAGTCTTATCAGGAGATAGGAAATGCACAACCCATTGGTACAGAGTCCCCAATTGCTTCTGTGGACGATGAGGATGACAAAGCTGTGGCAGCCGAGGATCCTTCGGATACCGAAATTGAGACGGAGGCAGAATTGGCAAAAGGCAGTGGAGTGGAGTCTGTTCCAGAGTTGGATGATACACAGCTTGTTGGTGCTGTCTCACCGACTGTAACCAAAGAAGACGATGAAGAGGTGATGGCTGAGTATGCGACTCCAATGGCAGACTCTGAAATGGACACAGTAATGGATGTGGCAGATACCATGGAGGGGGAGAAAGGAAGCAGTAGTGGTGGAGTGAAGCGGAAGAGAGGGAGGAAACCTAAAGCTCCAGTGAAGGCTCCAGCAAGGAAGATTATTGGAGAGGATGTTTGTTTTATTTGCTTCGATGGTGGAGACCTTGTACTATGTGATCGCCGGTAAGTTCAACAAATTGTGGAGCTTGATTCCGTAGGGTTTGTAAATTAAGTTCTGCTGCAATTTCTTTTCATTTTTTTATTTATTTATTTATTTTTTTTTTGTGTTTGAAAAATTATTATTATTTATTGGGCTAGTTTCTAATTGAGCTTGCTCTTGTTGGGGGTTTTAGGGGATGCCCCAAGGCATATCATCCTTCTTGTGTGAATAGGGATGAGGCATTCTTTCGAGCTAAGGGTCGTTGGAATTGTGGTAAGATATTCTCGGTTGCTTTATGCTTTTCTTTAACTCTCTTTCATGTTTGCATTTTGCTTCAACACTGACACACTCTGCCATCTCTTATATATATATATATGTTCGTGTATTTGATGATGGTGGTTTTTAGTTTCTTGCTTGGGCTTTGTAGTTTTAGTAGTTGTTTTGTTGGTTGTTTGTGTTCGTAAAATTGATGAATTGGGCAATCTTCATCTCGAATAGGTTGGGTATAGTAGCCATTGAAAACTAATAAATATTCAAGACATTCAAAAGCACTGAAATCTTCGTGCCTTTTATTCTAATTATTTTTTATGTAATGAAGTTGTTACTTTTGTGTTCTTTTGTAAAAGGTTTGAAGTATTCGAGAGCAGAACATGCAGGAGTGGACTGGTGTCGAGGAACAGGGAGTTCCATTGGAGAACCTTCCTAGTACACATTTTTAAGATTGGCAAGCTGGTCAATGTACTTGCTTGTCCTTCACTAGGAGTGTGATCATTCTTGAAGTGCTCAATTATTAACCTCCAAGTGACTTGAGGTTTCTGTTTGTAGTGCGATTGTGCATAAATAAGAAAAAAAATGGCGAGGGTGGTTTTCAATAGCCTGACTAATACTGTGATTTTCAAACGACTGTCTGGTCCTTTATTTGATTAAGGTTGTATCTCAAGGAACAGTTGTACCAGGAGAGGGATATGCTACTTTATACGGAGGAAAACTTGTTCTAGATACTTTATGTTATGATTTGTGTATTAATTTTGATGTAGAAAGGGATAACATGCAAACACAGTCGTCATTGGGATGACTAATTAGGGGCTGGTGGCGATTGTGTTATGACATTGGGGCACAACATTTTGATCAAAGCTAGAATTTTGTATTTGTAGCCTTAATTTATGAGTATCTAGAAGATGGCAGGAATTTTTCTTTTTGTATGGAAAATGCAAAAAGCAGAAAATAAACAATAAAACAGAAATTATTTTAGTTTAAATCATCCATTGAACATCTGAAATGATGTCCTTGTTACTTTGGTAATTGTTACAAAAATAGGATTTTATATTGATTTGTGATGCTTGAAGTTTTTCCTTAGAATGCTCTATCTGTGTGTGGTCGTTGTGTTCTATATATTGGAGGCCACTTATATATAGGACTTAGCTATAGCAAATACTTTTTTTTAATAACATTTAAGAGTGGTATGAATAAAACACAAGTGGATTATTGTCTATATGGAAGCAACTAGTGGACATCATGCAAGGATTGTAAGGTAATTCTGGGAGAAAGTCTTGCCAACCAACACTGATTGCTCATATTAGACATGGTAATTAAAGAAGTTAACTATAAGAAACCAAGAAAAAGTCACCAAAACATAAAGTGGAGGGAGTTGAAATGTAATAAATGCTACAAGGAACCAATGGGCCAATGGCCTAATAGGCCAATGGCCTAGCGGTATCAGGTCAAGGGTTCAAGTCTCAGTAGAGGCATGTGTGTGCGACTACCAACTAGGAAAAAAAAAAAATGCTACAAGGAGCACAATGCAATGTGAATGACAATACATATAATTTATGGTTGAACATAACGGATTCTATTCAAAGTGTGGCAATAGAGACTTTGGGAGAGATGAATGGAAAGAAATTTATTAAAAAAGAGACATGGTGGTGGAGTAATGAAATGCAAAAGGAAGTGCAAGACAAGAGAAGAAGTTTAAAAGAATGGCAAAAAAGTAGGAATCAAGAGGAACTAGATAAATACAAAAAAAAAAAAAAAAAAAAAAAAAAAAAAAAAGGCAAAAAAATGGGGCTAAGAAGATGGTAGTTAAACCCAAGCAAAATTCCTTAGACAAGTTATATAGAAAATTAGGTACAAAAGAGGGTGAATAAGATATTTATAGATTGGCAAAAATTAAGAGTTAATTGACTAGAGATATGGATAAAGTTAGATGTATTAAGGATGTGGATAAAAAAATATTAGTTAAAGAGGATGACATATTGAATAAGTGGCAAAATTACTTTCAACAACTCCTCAATGATGAATATCTAGGGAGGACATTAAGAATAATGAGCCTAATCTTAGTATGATGGATAAAATCAATAGGAACGAGGTAGAGAACAAATTGCTAAAAATGGGAAACAATAAAGCATTAGGGCTGGACCATATTCCTATAGTTGTGTGGAGAATTTTTGGAAGAGTAGGAGTTGAATGGCTAACAAATCTATTTGATAAAATTTTCAAGGAAGATACAATGTCCAATGGATGGAGGAAAAGTACTATAATAGCAATTTTCAAAAATAAAGGAGATATACAAAATTGTAACAATAATCCAGAAATTAAATTAGTGAGTCACAGGGAAGAGTAATAGAACAAAGATTAACGAAAGATTGTACCGTGTCTGCAAATCAATTTGGATTTATGCCAAGGAGATCTACTGTAGAGTCCATTTACCTATTAAGGCAATTAGTAGAGGAGTGCAGAAGTGTGCAAAAAGATCTACACATGATTTTTATAGACTTAGAGAAGGCATATAATTGTAGTTCCAAGAGACATGATTTGGTGGGCCTTATGAAGGAAAAATATTATGGTAAGATTTATAGAACTTATTCAAGATATGTATAAGGATTTTGAGAGTAGAGTTCATACTCTACGTGGGGAGACGAATGATGTTTCTATAAAAGTAGGATTACACCAAGGTTCAGCGCTAATTCCATATTTGTTTACGGTAATCTTGGATGAAGTAATGAAAGACTTACAAGGAGACCTTCCATAGTGCATGCTATTTGCGGATGACATAGTGCTATTGGATAGCTCCAAGGAAGCCTTAGCAATAAAATTAGAAGCTTGGAGAACTGTTCTAGAATCAAAAAGCTTAAAAATTAGTAGAATAAAACGGAATAAATGGAATGAAAATTTAATATTGTTATAGGAGATGAAAATATAATAATAAAAATTCAAGACCAAAGCATTACTCAACGTAACTATTTTTGACACTTTGGGTCAATTGTTTTACAAAGATGGGGAGATTGATGATGATGTAAGAAGTAGATTTGGAATAGGCTGGACAAAGTGGAGGAACCTTAGTGGGGTTCTATGTGATAAATGAATACCAAATAAATTAAAGGCGAAAGTATATAGAACAATGATTAGACCTGCTATGTTATATGGGGCGGAATGTTGAGCATTAAAAAGAAATACGAACAACGCACCCTCATCGCGAAAATGCGGATATTAGGAAAAACTAGGAAAGATGAGTTTAATAATTGAAGGACACTCCTATTAGCGAGAAAATAAGAGAGTAGAATTAGGTGGTATGGGCATATTCAACGCTGACCTATAGATGCGCCCGTGAGGAGAGGAAGATTGATTTGCATAGAGGTTAAGAGACAAAGAGGTCGACCAAAATTAACATGGAATGAAGTGGTAAGAAACAACTTAAAAAAATTAAATCTAGTAGAAGATATGACTTGTGATAGAAAAGAGTGGAAAAAGAGAATCCGAGTGGCTGACCCCGTAGATAAGGGTGGTGGCGGTGATATTGGAGGCCACTTATCCAAAAAAAAAATAATAATAATAAAAATTGGAGGCCACTCAAGCTGTTTGCCTTAAATTATAGAACAGCTAAAAAATCAAACTTCAGTCAATAACGATAATATTGGACCAGCTAAAGAATTTGCAAACAAACTCATCCCTCTGCTCCCCCTCCCTAGGGGGGCCTGTCAAGCTGCATTAATTTTTTTTTTCTACTATATTTTTGCAGTTCATATGTTTCTCTTTGATATTTGTATGATTTGTTTCCACTTCCAAAAGTTCCTCTTTTTCTTGGATTCTTTGTGTAAAGTGTTATTTTTGTCCATTTCAGGTTGGCATATTTGTAGCAACTGTGAGAAGAATGCATACTATATGTGTTATACATGTACATTTTCATTGTGCAAGGGGTGCATCAAAGATGCCGTTATCTTATGTGTCAGAGGAAGCAAAGGCTTTTGTGAAACTTGCATGAAAACTGTGATGTTAATTGAAAACAATGAGGTATGTGCACTCTTCTCATTCGTTCTCTCTCTCTCTCTCTCTCACTTTAATTTTTATTGGTGGTTTTGGGTGTTTTGGGGGGGGGGGGGGGGGGGGGGGGGGGGGGTGGGGGGTGTGGGGGTGTGTTGTTGGAAACCTTCTTGCTGGAAAGGATGAGGGAATTTTGATTATGTGCCTTCATAATGTTTATTCACTAAAATCTTTTCTTTTCTTTTCTTTCTTTGTTTCTTCTTTTTTTTTTATTTTTTTATTTTCATGTTGAGTACTAGCTGAATATTTTTCATGTTATTATTATGATTTTATGTTAAGTTGTTGATACATTTGTTCTTTATATTTCTCTTCTCCAGCCCACAGATGAATTGAAATACAAGCCAGTAGGATTTCAATGGTTTATTGTTATATGGTGATGCAACTATGAGATTATTAAGTTGGTTTCTTTGTGCACTTCAATTCCTTTTGTTGAGTTCTATTGCGCACTCACATTGCAGTCATGTACGTATTGCTATTAGCTTACAATTGGTTTCTGTTGGCTTTTCTTATCCTCTTTTTTGCACTCCCTATTTAAAACCAAATTGAATTCATTTCCCTTTGGGCCGATTCGATTTGGTTTTCGTGCCTAGCTTATCTGTCCTAGTGTTGTGTTTAGAAGAACCAAGCTCAATTTTTTTGTTGGCCGCCCTCCCTGTTTGAGCGCTCTTTCTATACAGTCTTACTTATCCAAAAAAAAAAAAAAAAAAAAATGAACCTAGCTCAATTTGGTTAAACCTTGGGCCAAGTTGTTGGTCAATTGGAATCTACCTGAGAATCAATCAACTTGCATGGCAAAGTTTATCTTTTTTATGATGTGAAACAAAGAGAAGTATGTCAAAGAAAAGAAGTGTAAGAAATTATTTTGATTGGATTTTAAATATTAGGTAAGTTCGTTAGAGTTAGATGCTACCTTATTTATTTATTCTTTTTTATTTTTTTGATAAGTATAAATTGCATTAAAAAAGGAGTTCAAAAGGGGATCCCTCAAAAACTACACAAGGCCAAAAAGGCCTCTAAACTCTCAAAGAGTCCAAATATCAACAAGCCACTTTGAGCGGAGCCTTCGAACGCCAAATAGTCCTCCATGGGAAGGGGTTCCCAGGGGTATCTGTAAGACACCTATAATTTGACTTAACATCAAAGCACCCCTGAGGAGAGGGAACCCACACCCGAGAGTTAGAAGCATCCCCCATTTTTCTTGGTGGTAAAGCAACTCCAAAAAACCAATGGCATCCTCAATCTCACAATCCTGAAAATGCCCCGAGAAATGCACATCCCAAACCGTTCTACCACTATCAAGTCGATAGCAGTCTACCACCAAGCCATGTCTATCTGTGGCAATCTTGAAGAGTCTGGGTAAGACGAGGGAAAGAGAGCGATTGCCGCACCAAATGTCCTCCCAAAAGCGTACCATCCCTAACTCGGAATCTAATTTGTTTTGAGAATTCATCGCACCCCTTCCGAATGAATTTCCAAAGCCCAACTCCACTTGGGAGCCGCCTCTCAGCAATGCACCATCCTCCTCTCGCCTCCTCAAAATCTGCTCGCAATCACCCTCATCCAAAGTCGTGCCTCTCCATCTCAAATCTCCATAACCACTTCCCCAAAATTCTGTGCCTCTACCTTATATTCTGCACTTTGAAGATCAGATACTTTTTTTTTTTGACGAGTAAGATCACATACTTTTGAGATCAAGGTAAGAGTAAAAGATTTCTTAATACTCGAAATGTCCAACTCAGCAATTAGAGTTTTAAATTTAAGCATCCATATCATTCAACCATGTTAGAATGCAATATGCATATCATTGAATGCATATGGAGAATTGGTTGCACTCCATCCAATGAAAACGCACCATTTCAGCTTCTTGTCAGTATTTTTTACAGGCAGGGAGGACAAATTTTATGGATTAACAAGGGCGGATCTCCGTTAAGGCTGTTTAGCCTGTGTCCGGTTGAAAAACAGAGCTATCCTGTGTGTAAAAATACTGACAAGAAGCTGATATGTTGCTGGCACACCCATTGATGTGGTATGCTGGCACACCCAATTTCTATTCATGCATATGAACAAGTTTTTATATAAAAATTCATACATCACGATTGAAGCACTGATCAAACCTTATTGTGGGAATTCGATTGATCGAATCCTTTTGGTTTTTGTTTCCTAACATGTTTTAAACTCCAAAATCCTAATTACTAAAAGCCGCTATAAACACCCTTTGGGCATCCTCCTTGCACATAATTTTTTTTGCAAAATGTCATTTCACACTCTAAATGTCTAACTCGCCAATTATCGTTTATTCAGCCATTCATATCATTCAACATAATTAGAATGCATCAGATATATCATTTAATGGATGTGAACAGGTTTTTAAGGAAAAAAAAAAAGTTTTTATAAAGCAGGGACTAAAACCGTTGGAAGCATTGATCGACCCTTGCTTTCAGAGTTTGATTGATCCCATAGTTGGATTTATTTTTGTGGGATTTTGTTTCCTAATCAATTTTAAACTTTAAAACCCTGATTATTATTATTATTATTTTATTTTTATTTTTAATAAAAGCCTACATAAACACCCTTAAGGCTCAAGAACAAATAGAATCATTTGCATACATATAAAGTGCGTAAAGGCAGCTTGGGGCAATTTTGTTTCTTTTCATCTTCTAAGCATATAAATGGCGAGTGGATTTGTAGAATGTTGATTCCTTATACTTTGAGTTCCTCAAAGGAGATGATCACCAACAAACCATGCAAGTAAGTTGGATAGCTAGCAAAGGAGAGAAATTATTTGAAGAAGAAGTGGATTTTGTGATGAACAAATTTGTTGATCTTATGTCATTAGAGTTTGTCGTAAACGTTTGGGTTAGTCTGGATCAAAGGTAACTTAGGTGGTCTCTGTGTCTTTAGAGTTTTATTCCTAGGATTGTAATACCTTTGTGTCACAGTGGATCTGATTTGCTTGGCCTAGTGTCTTGTGGTTCTTTCCTATGGGATTCTCCATGTAAATCTGTGTGTTCTCATATGCGAATGCTTTTATTTAAAGTTCTTTTTTAAATTTTATTCATAATTGGTTATTTGAATTGATATAGGTTTTAAATTATAGTTATGGTTTGTTAAATTATGTTCCATTGGGTTCCTTTTTCTCCCTCTCTTGCATACGTAGCATCCATAAATTCTGGAATTATGGATCACATTTCGTGGACAATATATAGGACTTAAATCAAGATGTCCGGCATGATGATATATATTTTATACAAACAAGCACACAGAGAGAAATATGTATATGCATAATTGTTTGGATTCTCTATTTGCTGATATTTTTGTTTCTCTCTATTTACTGATATTTTTGTTTCTTTTTCCAAGTGTTGAGGATTTTAAAAATTTTCTAGGATTTGGGATGCCTTTGTTTAATCTGAATGGAAATATGTGTGATTGAGCAATTCCATGAAGAGTTAGTGGTCCATGTTCATATCAGTGCTGGGTTTTATGCCATAGACTAGTAAGATCATACTAACTTGAGGAGATTATTTGAATAGAAATGTGGTTCCTTGTGTCATTTTGTTATCATAAACACATTTTCATATGCAGCTCAAACTAACAAGCATAAACCTGAAAGAGCTCGGTTTTCGTTCAGAAAAGGTAAAGCTCATTCAATCAGCAAGAGTAGAGCACGCCTTTCCAAAAAAACAGAAAATAAGAAGAGCATGTAATATCATTATCAGGTTCATGGGAACAATCCCAATCAAATTTATCGTGCAATTTGGTAAACAGGAAAATTATAGATTGCACCAAATTATCGAAATTGCTTGAACTCAAAGTTAATTGGAGAATATTCTTAGTTTTAATTTAAAATTACTTAAATAGTGAAAGTAGTTGGGGCTAGATGGGACAATTTTTAGAAGTCATAAATCATTTGGTACCATTTTCAGATTTAGTCAAGCTAGAAATTACATGCATACATAGTAAAGGCTTGGACTAACAAACCTGAAACGTGGGGTTTGAGGCCCAGAGTTGTTACTTTGTTCATAATAATGCCAAAAGGTTAGATCTGTCTCCATCTACCCATCCCAACATCCTGCATTAATGGAACTAGCACTGGTAATGGAAGCTTAATGTCCTGAACTTGCTGTGCTCATATAGTTTCTGAATTCCTGAAGTATCATTCTAATTTTCTCCTTTTTTGGTCCTTGTGCAGGCTCAAGTAGATTTTGATGACAGGAGTAGCTGGGAGTTTCTCTTCAAGGATTACTGGATAGACTTAAAAGCAAAGATCGATCTCTCTATAAATGAACTTGAGCAGGCTAAAAATCCGTGGAAAGGCACTGATGCATTGGCCAATAAACAGGAATTGACTGAGGAAATGTATGATAACAATGATGGAGGTTCTAGTTCAGACAGTTCTGAGAACCTAGACATAACTAAATCTAAAAGAAGAAAGGCAAAGAAACGATCAAAGTCCGTCCCTAAGGAAGTGGACGTGCCAAGTGCAGCAGCAGCAATTCATGCTGAAGGGACTTCTACTCCTGGCAACACTGAGTGGGCATCAAAAGAGCTTCTGGAGTTTGTAATGCACATGAGAAATGGTGACAAATCTGTTGTGTCACAATTTGATGTACAGGCTCTCTTGCTTGAATATATAAAAAGAAACAAACTTCGTGATCCTCGTAGGAAAAGTCAAATTATTTGTGATTCAAGGCTTGAAAATCTGTTTGGAAAAGCTCGTGTGGGGCATTTTGAAATGTTAAAACTTCTTGAATCTCACTTTCTTATAAAAGAAGATTCTCAGACAGATGATATCCAAGGGACTGTTGTTGATACTGAATTTAACCAATTGGAGGCTGACGGGAACATGGATGCCCCATTAAAGGGGGGTAAAGATAGGAGACGCAAAATACGTAAAAGGGGTGATGATAGAGGACCTCAGTCCAATCTTGATGATTATGCTGCTATTGATATCCACAATATTAACTTGATTTACTTCCGACGAAAATTGATGGAGGATCTAATTGAAGATATTGAGAAGTTCCGTGACAAGGTTGTTGGTACTTTTGTAAGAATCAGGATTTCTGGTAGCAACCAGAAACAAGACATATATAGGCTAGTCCAAGTTGTAGGTACATATTTACAATTGGACCTCTTCGTATTATTTTTCGTTTATGCAGTCAAGATTTGATATCTGATTAAATTTAAATTTCTTAATGATTCTGTTTACAGGAACAAGCAAAGCAACTGAACCATATAAGATTGGAAAAAGGACAACAGATGAAGTGCTAGAAATACTAAATCTGAACAAAACAGAGGTCATATCAATTGATACAATCTCAAATCAGGAGTTCACTGAGGTGATTGAATGTAACAGATTGTACAGAAATTATGATCTGCTTTATTTCACAACTACTTCAAATGAAAAACTTACCATCTGGAAGTTTTTATTATTTTATTTTATTTTTGTGGTTATATGCAAAATTACTTTGGTTCAGAAACACAAATGTGAATGTTATAGAGGTTCAGGTTCCTGATTCGCACTAGTCCGCCAACACGCACATATTCAAACAGCCTCAAAAATTGAATTGGCAGAACCTTCTTAAATAAGGCTTTGAAAATTCAAATTCCCCTTTATTACTGAACTCACATTAGATGGGTTAAGAAAGGATATTTTTGATGTGCATTGGTGTATTTTGGGAGTAAAAGGGGTCCCTATATAATTTATGGTGACTTATATTATATAATATTTTTCTTAGGGAAGTCGTTGAAATATTTCTTGTCTTGATGTGTTAGGATGAGTGCAAGCGTCTACGCCAGAGTATAAAATGTGGACTTATCAACAGACTGACTGTGGTAATTTCTACATTTTAATTTCAGTTTTATTTTCTGGTTCAAGTAAATAGGCCATTTCATCATTCTAAAAAGATATATGGTCTTTTTGTAGGGTGATATTCTGGAAAAGGCTACAGAAATCCAGGAGGTCAGAGTCAATGATGTAAGTTGTTTATCAGTCGTGTACAAAGTGCTTGTATAATAATCAAGGTTTTCAAATTCACCCCTTGTTGGAGTCGTGTTAGACTAGGCTGCAACTGCGAGCCAGTGGCCCTGAGACTGCAATAGTGCAATGAGACTGAAAAACACTACTAACTTGGTCGTGAAGGGCCTTGACAATATTTTTTTAGCCAGTCATCTATATAAACCTGCTTTTCCCCAATTTTTCTCATTCCTCTCTGTCAAATGATTCTCTCAACCCTGAAACGACCTCTAAACACACTAAGCAACTTAAATTTACAAATTCAATAGAAAAAAAAAAAAAAAAAACAAAGATTTAACAGTGAATCTTCAAAAAAAGCTTCTGATCTTGCAAATGATCAGTAGGATTTTATTTTTAATATTTTTTTTCTGTTATTTATTTATTTATTTATTTATTTATTATTATTATTATTATTTATTTATTTATTTACCTAGATCTAACATCAAAATATTGTATTATATTAGATCTAGCATACTTGTTCGCAGATCCTATTACGGATTTTCCATCAATCTATTTTTCAAATATTTCCTTGTACTTTTCATAGGAAGTAATTGATTTACATTCATAAAACATGTGAATGATATAATATGTATATATATATATACTGTATACTTGGAGTTTGTAAACATGATCTAATGTTTCATTTTCAGATTTTTTTCTCTCTCTAAATTTTATACGTCATTTTTTGCTTTTCTGATTTTCTAACCTATTATTTTTTTATACTTTGTAAAATTATTTTGAAATATATCTGTATAAGTATATTATTAAACCATAAATTCTTTATATTATTCATATACTAGTCTACATTAATAAGTTATTCATAGAAAATGGAATAACAAAGTGAATTTTTTTTCTTATTAAATTTGACATAAAATTTGGAGAGTAGTGAAAAATTCAGAAATATGAAAATACGTGATACTTCACATATTTTATTATACATAAGTTGTTTTTGGTAAAAAATTATTAAAAAGTGAACTAAAAAATCAGAAAAAGTTGCTCATATATTCAATAAAATTTACTAAGCAAGTTTTAGTAAACTTTTACTACTGACAACGCCTTAAAATTTGATTTTTGGTGATCAAAATATTATGAGACCATTACCCATGGCTTTAATATGTCAGTGTAAACGATGAATTAGGTCTTGTGGATAATAGTTTGCAACTAATTAAAATTTTGAATTACTGTGAATCCTTGTTTAAAATTTAATTAATTAGTTTGATTGTGTGTCTCAACTGCAATCATATTAATATATAAAACAATAAATTGAGTAATGTAGAGACAAATATACAATTTTTTTTAATGAAAAAACCATAAGCAGGGAAAAACGATGGAACCTATACTTTGTTTGGTTGAAAGGAAGGATGGAAGAAGCTTCCATTGTTTGGTGGAAGGGAAGAGAGGAAGGAAGCATGGCCTGCATTTTTTCATTTCTCCAAAATTGGACGGAAGAGTGGGAAAGAAATAAATTTTTCTATAAATATGGAATACTATTTTTACCCTACATTTATTGTTAAACCCTACTTTGTATTAGTCTATATGATGAGGGTGTATTGGTAAAAAAATATAAAATCTCTCCCTTCCTTCCTTCCTTCCTTCCGACCAAACAAAGAAAGGTCTCACATCATCCATCCTTTCCATTATCCCTTCCATTCAACGAAACAAAAAATGAGGGAGACATCAATCTTCCCTAGGGATGCCTCAGCCATCCCTCCCCCTCTCTCCTCAGTCTATTTTTACATCCCTCCTACCAAACAGAGCAGTAGTCTAGGCAAACCAAAATTCACTATGTGAGAAAGAGAGTACAACCTAGGTTAATAGAATTTACCCCAAGAATCCCTTAGTTGCTTCTTGATACAAAGGACACAAACTTTACCCTGAAAGTCTTCAGGCTGTCATTCCCTTCGTTAACAATATCTGTTTCTCACGAATCTACTTCTCTGCTAATTTCAGTCTCAACCACTAGTTGTCCAATCAACTTGTTCTTAATGAGCAACTCGGTTAATGCTCTGATAGATATCTTCAGTTAAGCTGCTTGCTTTGATTCTCCTAATCCCTTATAATATGTTAATCTATGAAGATCCCTAGATTGATTCTCTAAGCTCTCTCTCTAAAAATATAAAATTTTCAATAATGTGTGAAGACTTGAAAGCTCCTCGGAGAGATACCCTAGACTGACTATAACCCTATATTTATGGCCAATATAGGAGATCATTATAGCATGGTAAGTAAAATCCTTTTAGGATTTTGATTTGAGAGAGTTTCGCATAAAATGTGTCTGCAATGGTCTGATTGATCGAGTACCACTAGACAAGTTTCGATCGATTGAGTTATTGATCAAAGCAATCTGGATTTTAAAAATATTCTTCCTACAAAATCTTGATCGATTGACCATTTAGGTTTACTGGATTTAAAATATATTTTTCCCACAAAATCCACATTTTTTGACAAATAGTATTAAAACAATATTTTGAGTCTTGAGAGATTTCCATCATGTTCTTCGCTAAGCTCCATTGCCATCATCTTCCATGGTTATAGAAAAATGACACTTTGACACACGCTACAACCCAAAATTTGAGGAGAGATTTGCCAATAGACCAAACAATAGGCTCAAAACAACTTTAAATATTCAGTTAAATACATTAAAAATCATTAAAAACACTTTTTGTTTTTTGTTTTTTCTAAATTTAAAAGTTGTGAATTGGTTTGCATTGATCAAGTTTTGTAATGTTCAAAAAGTTAAATGACTGTGATAGCTGATACCATTACATAATCCCATTGCAACCTCTGACGCAACTTAAACCATTCATAAGCATTCCTACTAGTTTGAGTATAATTCAGATAAATTGAAGTGGGAGTAGTTAGTTATAAGACAAGAAACTGCAAAATAAATAGAGAAAGTCTGTCCAAACCTACATATTTGGATTGTGTGGTTGTCGAAGTAGTTTAATAATGCATTTAGAAACATATTTCTTTAAAGAACAATTGCTCCAAGCAACTATCCCATTGTGAGCTCCACTTCAATCATTTTTCTTGTTTCCATAAGGACTGCGTAAATAGCAAAAAGGCAACCACTCTGCTGCTCGCTCTTCTTTTGTGTTCAAGTTTTTCAATTCTTTGAAGAGCTTTTTTCCTTCTGCCTAAACGGAAAGCATATGTAGAGAAGGTAATGGAGATCACACTGAAGCTAGGGGTGGCAAATTTTGACACGACCCGCCAATACGACTCGAGCTAAGCGGGTTTGGGTTGACGACCTTAAACGGGTTTGGGTCGTAAATGGGTCGACACGATTAACATCGTGTTGTGTTTGGGTTGAGGGGTTCAACTCGTGTAACCCGTTTAATTATACGTGTCATAAACAAATTTTTATTTAAGTTCCAAAATAACTATCTAAACTTGTGTCTTATATAATTTATTTTTTTGTAAATTAGAGACTATTTAGTAATTTGGTTGGATTGAAACTTATATTTTTCTAGTATTTATTGTTTGATTGAGTATTATTAATAATTTAAATAATATAATATTTTGTTTAGTAAATAGACCATTAAATGGGTTACACGTGTCACTCGTTTAATAAATAGGTCGGGTTAGTGTTGATGGTTCCTGATACGATTATTAAACGGGTCGTGTTTGGGTTGAGCTGTTTAAGATAATGCCCTTAGGTTGACATGATACGATTATGACCCGCGAATACGAATTGCCACCCTTAACTGAAGCTCATGCACCGGCTCCTATACATACCTATTATCGGCATTGACGCAAAGGATAGACTATCTTACGGCACCAAACATGGGCATTACTACATGTTTCACTTAGGCCTTATACGGATTAGATCTGTCCTGATAAGATCTGAATCCGATCTTATCCTATTTCTCGTGGAGACAGAAATCTCGAGCCATGTGGCTTAAGGAGGGCGACAGAAACACGAAGTTTTTCCATAGATTGGCCAATGCCCATCGAAGAGGCAATCATATTGGGAGGATTCGGGTGCATGGGTTGACTCTGGTTAAGGAGGAGGATGTGTGCAACGATATTGCTGAGTACTATGCGGAGTTGTTCACAGAGGTTGCTACGTGGAGACCTCTACTTGAGGGGCTTCAGTTCGACACCATTTCTTGTGAGGAGTGTGCGGGCTTGGAAGAGCCTTTTTCTGAAGAGGAAGTCTTGTCTGCTGTGAAGTGCTGTAACGGGGATAAAGCCCCAGGTCCTGATGGCATAGTTGTTAAAGGCTCAAGGCGCACAAAAGCGCAAATGCCTCTTGGAGCTTGAGGCGCAAGGCGAGGCGTGCGTCCGACTGAAGCAAGGCGCACATTGAAAAAAAAAATCAAAACCCACCTATGTGACAGGACTTATTAATATACCTTGGGCTCAATCCCTAAACTCATGGTTAATCAGACACTACAAGCCTATTCATCCATTAATATTTAATATAGATAATACACATTATGAATTCTTTTTAAGTATTTTTTTTTTTTGCTATAGCAACTAAGTGACATGACTTATTACAACCTCGGGCAATCCCTAAACTCATGGTCAATCCAAAACTGAGACAACATATACAATCCAATTCATCCATTAATATAGAAAATACTCCAAGCAAGTAATAATTAATTATTTGTACTAATTGAAACGTGTTAAACAAAAATGTAAATCCAAGAGAATTGCATCCTCTTTACAGTTTACAACAATAACAAACTTAAAATTTCCCAAAAAAAAAAAAAACAAAAAAAAAAACTAATTTCATTATGAACTTCAGTCATAAACTACTACAGTTGAAAGAATCCTTGAACACTGAAAGAACCCAAAACCAGAGGTGACATATTAAACACTAGACACTAGGCACATTAAATTTGAGATTTTTTGAATTTGAGATTGAAATAAAACTTGAGGAAAAAAAAAAAAAAAAAAGCAGAAGAAAAAGAAGAATAAAACTGGAGAAAAAATAAATAAATAAAAAGAAGAAGAAAAATAATAATAAAAAAATATGCCAGACTCTCGAGAGAGCCGAGACTCGAGAGAAGAAGAAGAAAAGAAGAAAAAGAAGAGAAGAAGAAGAAAAAAAAAAATCTGAGTAGATCCGGGAAGAGAAGGAGGAGGGAAGAAGAAGAGAAGAAGGAGAGAGAGAAGAACTTACCTGCTGGCCTAGCCGTCAACGCAGATCCGAGAGTCTGAGTGCCGCAGCGAGCCTTTGTCTTCTACTCTTCTTTCTTTTTCTTTTTTTTTTTTTTTGTCTTTTATGTTGTAACTTGTAGACTTGTAGGCATTCTATTATATTGACTAATAAAATAATAATATTCTATTATACATAGACAATAAACAAAGTTACAAGACCTAAAAAAAAAATAAAACGAAGAAGTAAAAAACGATTTTTTCAAGGCGCGCCTATAGCCTGGCGCCTTGGTGGGAAAGGCGCACGCCTTACATAACTCAGCCACCTTAAGTGTACTCAAGGTGACAACAGGGCGCCTGGAGGCGCTTGGAGCCTCAGGCGCCTTTGACAACTATGCCTGATGGGTTTACCATGTGTTTCCTTTTGGAGTTCTGGGAGGTGGTTAAAGGGGAGGTGATGGGCACTTTTCAAGCTTTCCATGCCCAGGGGTCTTTTGAGAAGAGCTTACCACCTTTGTTGCTCTCATCCCCCCCCGGGGGGGGGGGGGGGGGGGGTGGTCACTCTAATAAGAGTACCATGTATATGCAATGAAGGAGGAATGGGATGTGAAACGGGTGGGAGGATGTTTGGTGTGGAGATATTTCTCTTGCTCTCGCTTTTCCACGGCTGTTTAGGATTGCTTCGAATAGGCAGGCCATGGTAGTTGACTGTTATCATCTTGATAGCGGGAGACTGGTGTGGGATGTTTGGTTCAGGCGTCTCTTTCAGGATTGGGAGGTTGAGGATGCTATTCATCTGTTGGAGTTGTTGTATAAGCAAGGAGTCACGGTTGGTGAGTCTGATGGTTGGATTTGGGCTCCCAGTGCTCAAGGTTGTTTTGATGTGCTGTCCTTCTTGAGGTGTCTTTCAGTGGAGCCTGGAGGGCCCTTCCCGTGGAAGTCTGTTTGGCGTTCTAAGGCTCCTCTCAAAGTGGCCTTCTTTACTTGGACTTCTGTGTTGGGCAAAATTTTAACTCAGGATAATTTGAGAAGGAAAAATCAGGTGGTGGTCAATTGGTGCTACATGTGTCTTAGGGACGAGGAGACAGTGGACCATCTTCTTTTGCATTGCCCCATGGCCAAGGATTGTTTGGATTTGATGCTTGGCTTGTTTGGGTTCCAATGAGTCATGCCTCACTCCGCCAGACAGTTGGTCGAGGCTTGGAGAGGGTGTTTTGTGGGGGGCCATGTTCGTGATGCTTGGAGGGCTACTTCTCTTTGTGTGTGGTGGTGTATTTGGCTTGAGAGGAATAGGAGATATTTTGAGGGGAAGGAGAGGCCTATTTCTTTTCTAAAGTTCTCTATTGTTTCCACTCTTTTTTGTTGGGTCTCAGGTAGAGATTATAGATCTTTAGATGAAATAGTTGATTTTTTGGCTTCTTTAAAAGTGTAATGGCTGTTTTGGCCTGTTTTTGTTCCCTTGGGATGCGCTTCCCTTTTGAGCTCTTTTTATAAATTTCTTACTTATAAAAAAAAAAAAAAAATTTGAGGTTTACAAGGTTGATTGCATTAGGATAATATATGGAAAAAGGGGCTAGCCCAGTATACGAGGGTCAGATGTACGCAACGTTACCTCGCAGGGAGAGGCTGTTGCCGGTAGAATTATATCTGACATCATATGATTTCACAAGATGGTAAAATTGGCAAAATAATGTATTTATTTGTTTGAAGATCATAAGTTTTCGTAGAAGAATATCTACAAGGATCTGAACCGTATAAAATTTTAAAAAATTTGCAGAACCTAAAGTAAAAGAGAATTGAAAAAGGATAGCTGTAGCATGGAGCAAAAAGACAATGACAAAATTAAGTAAAGCCAATAATAATTTTGTAGCTTGCTGTTAACAACCCATGGCATTAACTATATGGGTTAATCTACATGTATATGTGTCTTCTTTTGATTCTTTGTAAATTCATATCTTAGATAAAATGCAAGGCTATGATGTCCTTTCTCCCTTTAATTCCCTTCCTTTGGTATGACTATGATGTCTCAATTTTTCTTATGCCTTTGTTCTCTGTCACCTGCAACCTAGATCAGATCACTTTTACATACTGGGCACTAGTTAGGCAATATCGCACATATTGGAACTATCCTAAGAAACTTTTTCATTAATATTTTTTTATTCAATCAGTGCTATGTCTAATTCACCATCAATGCATTTTTGTCCCATATTCTACCTGTTGTTATTTCCATTTGTCTAAAAAAGCCTTCTTTGAGTTCAGTTTTTGATCATCTTGATCTTTAATTGTTCAACATTATATGCCATAAGGCACAGCTGGCTTTATAACTGACTCAGAAATTTTCCCCTTCCACTGGACAGTTATTCTGCTATTGCAATGTTTGACATGCATGCTTCCATTTTCATTCATCTTGCTTTAATTTTACGAGCAATGCCCTTAATCTCCCCTTATGGATAATTGATCCGTGATATAAAAAAGGATTGCCTTTGGTATCCATCAAGTTCATTTTATCCTTATACCTTTTCTAGTTCTGAGATCACACCATATATTCTGTTAATTTTATATAAAGTGTAAATCAATACATTACAGAAGTTTGAGCGACAATGTGGAGGATGACGATTGGAACTCCTGATAATTTTCTGATCAGTTCAATGTGTGTTTGAACATAATTGGCAGGTCTCAATCTCAAGCTTTTGGGGTTGGCCCTTTAGACCCACTTTACTTGCAATCCATTAGGCATTGGGATTTTTGTATGGCTGGCCTTAACTTGGGGTCAACCTTTTGTGGATTGATGCCAACTTCTAGGATTTTTAGTTGTCAGTGGGAGGGAGGCCTAGCATGGATCTTGGGCTTTGGCGGGGTTACTTCTCAAATAGGAAACTCAATTAACCTATTACTTATGAATTCTGAATTCATGAAACGAAAGGTGACTTCATGTTATTTTTTTTGAGTAGGAAGAATCTAGCCAAAGGCAGAGGGAGGCCTCTATACATGCATTTACATGTGTACTCGTTCATATATAAAATAGTGGTGTATAGTTAAAACAGATTCTTGAAAGGATAGCTGTCGGTAATGACCTTGAGGATCTTTCCTTTCAGTGGATTTTATTTCTCTCATACAGATTCGAACTAATGTCACTATGATTATAGTTTTGTCATATTGAGAAGTGTTGTTGCATGTTATGACATGTATAAAGTGTCATTATTTTTTTTTTTTACAAGAAGGTTGGACACTTTGAACTGTATTTGTATCATTTTCAAGATTTTATATAGCTATGTTCTATAAGACTTTTATTTGAAAGTGTAGGATGTTTTTATCAAGTGTCCTGGATGTGTCGGCCAAATTTCCAAATTAATAAAAGTTATTTCTAAATTATGGATAAGTTCATGAAGTATAGGACACGTGTCTATGAAGTTTCCATGGAGTGTCATGTTTGACACACCTTTGTAGAAGTGTCCGTGCTTCTTAGGATTCAAATGATCTTAATTGTTTTTCAACTGTACTATATAACTTAAAAAAGGGTCATTCGCTATGAGAAACAGCCACCTCTGTTCTTTCAGAGGATCAATTGGATCACTTGTGTTGAGTGCCCTTTTTTTTATTATTTATTTTTGTTTTGTTTATTGTTTATTTATTATTTTTTTGTCTACTCTAGTATTGGGAAAATTGTTTGATTGAGTTGAATTATGTTCACTTTATGTTACATTTTCATTTTGGGAGAGAGCTGTAAAAATAAAGTTGGTCCAAATGAATTAGTTTTTAGTGTGGACTCAAAGAATACTTCCTCGTTATAAAAGCTGGAATAGTTACAATTTCTGAATTGTTTGTCCAATTATGTTTTCTTCATGATTTTCATGGCTGTATTGTTAGGACATCTGAAATTTATTTCTCTGGTTTTTCTTTCATATCATGCATAGTTTACTTTCTTATGATGCAGTGGCTGGAAACGGAAATAGTGAGGCTTAGTCATCTTCGTGATCGAGCAAGTGAGAAAGGGCGAAGGAAGGAATATCTTTTTTGTTCAACTTTATAAAGTTCTCTTAACTTTTATGTGCTATCTGAATGTTTTGCAGTACATGTTTTATTTAATTAATTATAAACTGGTTTACAAGTGCTGTTAAAAGAGTTAATTCGTTGTTTTTTTGGTCAATGAACAATCAAAAGTCGTTGTAGTCATCATCATCATCCTTGCCTTGTATCTCATATGAATGAGGTCAGCCACATGAATCATCTTTTTCAGTTCTTTCAAATCATTACCATGTCACCTCTAATATTTAATTATTTAAATTATTTTTATTACTTCATCCCATGTAAGTTTTGGTCGGTCACTTTGTTGTATACGTTATAGGGAAACAATTTTTCCTCCATTAATAGGTGCATGTTCGGATCTACATTGTATATGACAATAACACCTAAGGTTGCTTTCTCTAATTTCATCATTAATATGCTCTATTCCTAGTTTTCCCATTACTTATTCATTATTAATCTTGTCTCTTGTAGTCACTCCTATCATCTATCGTGACATTCTCATTTTCACTACATGAATGCGTTGTTCTTGTTTCTTTTTCAATGACCAAAACTCTGCTCGATATAATATAGCTGACCTAACCGAGACGCATTAATCAAAACAGAGAACTTCACCGTGGATATGCATAATCAAATCCACCTCCTCCATTGCTCCCTGAAGCAATGATCTTTATATTCTTATAGGAGAAGTTCTGACGGCTTTGTTAGGAGACATTTTATTATTAAAATTTTCCTCTATTACGGTGCAATTGATAGTCCTTCGTTTACAAGGCATTAGGTTGTGAAGTAGTAGGCATTACATTGAAGAATTAGTTTATTGCCAGACTAGATCTTGAAATCTCTAGGCTTGAACTGATCTTATAAGGTCCTGACCTCGTGGTGTCTATGGCCACCTCCATATGGGCCCCATCTTTCCTTCACAAATTATCCTTGACTTCGACCTCTTCGATCAAACTCTACTATACCACATTCGATTGATTGACAATTTGATCGATACATTCTGTATTTAAAAGAAATTTTACTTGGAACCGTGTTTGATGGATCCACCATTTGATCGACTTTTACTAGATTTGAAAACATTTTACTGTTTAAAATTTGATCCATTGACCAATGCTCTCTAAAAACTGTTTGATTGATTGAGCAACCAATGGATAGCTACTACTGTTTCTAGTTTGAAATTCAGATTCGAAAATCATTTTAAACTTACGTTTTGAAAAGCTAATATTCAAAAACGTTTTCAAAGCATATATATTAGGTCAAACTAGGTCTTATTAAAGTCATTTACCTTTGACCTAAATGTGTAATTGTGGATGTGAACGACCATGGCTTTTCAATAGATGTCCACGAACCTTTCACACATTTACAATCAGGGTTTTGAGTAGGAATATGCTAACATGACTCAATATCCTGATCGTTACATTCTACTTTTGGTCTTTGGTATTGAAATCGATTATGTCCTTTATAATGGTTGGGAGGCTAAACTCTTGAACAATAAAGATCTTGTTGCCTCTGGAAGTTCACGGTTCATGGGCACAATAAGGATCTTTATTTGACATTTTTTTTAGAGTTCTCTCTGTGGTCCACTGCTGGTCATTATTTCTCGCTGCATTTCTTTACTTTATTTTTTTATTGACTTTCTTGTTGGTGTTGAATAGAATGCCAACTTCAGTCCTATTAATTTGTTAATTTGTTTTGGTACTTGCTACTTTGAGTGACTTTTCTTTCTTCCTTTTAGAGTATTAGGGACTTCAGCACTTGACAGTTAAGTTGAAAGGTCAAGAGCATTCCTTTTTTGAAGTCCTTCAAAGATCTATGTTTTTGCTTGACTCACTACCTTTAATAAATTTAATACCATAAATCAGATGCCACCAGAATTAATGATGAAAAAAAAAAAAAAAAAAATTCCAAATGTATTTCTCAGGTCTGCTATCGCTAAACCTGTGGTTCACCGCCTTAATTTTTTTGTGCTTACTTAATCCGGCAAATGCTATTCTCGTCAGCTGGTTCAATTTGTTTTGGACCACACCATTTCATTTCCTCGTAGGATATATCTTTCCTTGGTTTAGAAAATATGACCTTTTCTGGAGTTGCGGTTTTCTGGTCATTCCTTGGTCTCAGGTAGTAATTGTTAGAAGATGCTATATTTGGAATATATTATTATAGGAATCCTTCAATTACTCCTTGACAGAATATTTGATATGAGAATATCATAGGAGAGATTTTTGCTAATGATAGAATATTGATTGGAGCGATTTATGGTATTGATTTTAGAAATCTTCCATTAATGTATTTTTCATATTTATCACCTCTATTCTTTCACCTATAAATAGAGGTGATCATTGTATACAAAGATCAAGAGAGAATATATTATAAAGTGATGTAGCCCTTCGGGCTCTTTGTGCCGTGGATGTAGGCCCTGGTGGCTGAACCACGTAATATCCTTGTGTTCTTCGTGTTTCATTTCTCTCTTCACTTCTGTTTTGTGCTTTACAACAGTAATCAATGGAAGCTGTGCAGCTGAAGTTCTCGAGGGCTTGTGCAGTTGTGCTTAACCATCATGCCTCTTTGTGGGCCTCTATTTCTGAGAAATTCAATAAAATGCCTTTGTGATCGTCTGGGCTTAGAAAACTAGTAATCTTAAGAGTTCACATCAATCTATTGTTTACATTTTTCAAATTTCTTCAATTGGACATAGTCTGATAATGCTGATGTTTTTGGGATTAGAGTACCTGTGATGAATTTGTCTACTGTTTGGTTGGTACCTATTTTGTCTGTGGTTTGATCCTCATTAATTGCTGTCATGCAATGCTTACCAAATATATAAGTGTGTGTGTGTATATATATATATGTACGTAATATGTATATGTATTGCTGTGCAATGGCGATAATCAGTGTTCCCAGAATGAGTTGCAAAGTAATCCTTAACTGATCTTCACGCTTAGAGAATGTGTAGAGAAACTGCAGCTTCTGAAGACACCTGAGGAGCGTCGGCGTAGGCTAGAGGAGACTCCAGAAATACATGCAGACCCAAACATGGATCCTGGTCATGAGTCCGAAGAAGATAACAGTGAAATGGAGGATAACAAACGAGGTCCAATTTATGTTCTCATCATTTTAAACTCAGTATCCATTATATTAAACTTTTCTTTATTACTAAGATTTAAAATTGCTTTTCACTCAACCAGAAAGTTTTATGAGACCAAGAGGTTCTGGCTTTAGCAGGAAAGGCCGGGAGCCTCTCTCTCCACGAAGTGGAAGTTTTTCTTCAAAGGATTCGTGGAGTGGTACAAGGAAGAATTCTAGCCAGAATTGGGAACTAAACAGAACCATGTCTAATAAAAATTACTTGAACAAAGGTGAAGAGACTACTCTTGCTGGTGAGACACCGAACGAAAAAGTGTGGAATCAAGGTAGAGACATAGATGCAAAGCAATCAAACAATTTGGAGAAGTTCAACTCAGCTATTGATTCTGAAACAGTTGGATGGAATAGCCACTCTCTGGTAAAATCTGAATCATTCTCAGGCGTCGCATCAGAATCTTCACCAGCATCTCTCTCTTCTGGGTTAGCAGAAAATGCTGCCAAAATCAGTGAAACAGATAAAATTTGGCATTACCAGGATCCGTCGGGTAAAGTTCAAGGGCCATTTTCTATGGGCCAGCTACGTAAATGGAATAACACTGGATATTTTCCTGTTGATCTTAAAATTTGGAGAAGTACTGAAAAGCAAGACGATTCTCTCCTTTTGACTGATGCATTGGCCGGAAGATTTCAGAAAGAGTTGCCACCAGTAAACATGTTCACAAAGGCTGAAAATGTGCTCAGTCCACATCTCTCATCCACACATGCTGGGAGGTCTCACGGGACATCCTTGCAGAAAGTGGAGCTAAGTTCTTCGACTGGCTGGGCCACTCCTTCAGTTGAGGTCACCAAACTTTCGACAGACCAGAGGGATTCTGACTATGGTAGCAGAACTGATTCGTCAAACCTCCCATCACCAACTCCAAAACAAAGCACTCCGGGGTCTACAGGAGGACAAGCTTTTGAGAACAAATGGTCAGCAAGTCCTTTTCCTGTTCATCAAGAAGGTTCTGTCCTGGGTGCCAATTTGTTTCCAGGTAGCAATGGAGTGCTGCAATCACATGACTTAGCTACCCCAGATAATGGCCAACCTACACGTTCTTCTACCTTTTCTTCAATTAATCAAGATGGAAGCAAAAAACATAATGCAGTGGAGTCCATAGGTGTTTCGGCGCCTACTTCAGTTTTGAATTCAAACCTGCAATTGACAAGGGTTTCTGAAAATGATTCTTTGAGCTCTCATACTGGTTTGAGTCTAGCACCCAACTCTGGTCAGGGTTTCCCTGTGGGCCCTACAAATGCTCTACCAGTTTCTCAATCAACTGCAGTTGCTCCCCGCGCGACACCAATGAGTGAATCTCATTCCTGGGGTAGTGCACCAACCCAGAAATTAGAAGCAAATTCTTCAATTCCTTCTCCTGTATCACAAATGGCATGGGGTGGTGTTCCATCTACTGTTCAAAATTCTGGTGGAAACTTACTCAATCCAGGCTTCTCAGCTTTGCCTCCACCTGATCCTTGGAGACCTCCAATTCCAGTTAATCAATCTAATGTCCAGCCTCCAGCACAACCCACTATGCAGTGGGGTATGGTTGTCGCGGAAAATAACACCTTTGCACCAGGTCCAAGGCCTGAAAATCCAAATGCTGGTTGGGGACTGATGCCAGGAAATCCAAACTTGGGCTGGGGAGGACAAGCACCAGGTACAAACATGAACTGGGGAGCTATTGCTCAAGGGCCGGTGCCTGGAAATCCAAATGTGGGTTGGGTCATGCCACCTGTGAATCCAGGAGCTACTGTTCAAGGGCCTGTATCTGGGAATGTGAATATGGGTTGGGTTGCACCAACTGGAAATTCGGGAGCTATTGTTCAAGGACTAACACCTGGAAATGCTAATCCAAGTTGGGCCACACCGATGGGGAATCCAGGACCTACCGTTCAAGGGCAACCACCTGGAAATGTGAATCGAGGATGGGTCACATCAAGTGGGAATCATGGAGCTGTTCAAGGGCCACCTGGAAATGCAAATCCGGGTTGGGGTGCACCAGCTGGGAATCAAGGCACACGGGGAGGTGAACAACGACGCAATGGAGATAGATTCTCTGGTCAGAGGGATAGTGGTTCTCAGGGTGGTGATTCTGGTTATGGTGGCGGTAGGCGTTGGAACAGGGATTCATCATTTGGCAGAGAGCAAGGTGGTTTTGACAGGCTTCCCAAGGGGCAGAGATTGTGCCCGTACCAACAGCATGGATATTGTAAGAAAGGTGCTGCCTGCGATTATATGCACACTTGAAAAGAAATTTTGTACAGTAATTTTCCAGTAAGGTGGTTGACTTTTCAATTTCCATTGGTGCTTTTCAATTGTAAACTTTTTTTCAGTTCAGCAGCAAACTTCAAATTTTCCTCTCTTGCAATATCATTGCTGTTGAATGCTAATCTCATTTGATACCTAAAATGGGTTTTGAATAAGCTAAAAATGAATAAATTCATTTCGCAACTCTTTCAATATAATTTAATAATTAGAGTATGATTGAAAATAAATTACAAAATAGTATAAATGTAATAATTATTGTAACATACATAAAAATAATATATAAATGCTACCATATTTTATTACATTTATACAAAATAGTATAAATGTAGTGATTAGCATTTATATTTTGCTTGTACATGTATATATGTATATTTTTATTTTTTTACCACCTTTATTAATTAGCATTTATATTATGCATATTTTTATTTTATACCACCTTTATTAATTAGTATTTATAATATTCTTGTACATGTACATATGTATATTCTAACAATTTACTTTTTCTATGCCGAAAATTTTATTATATTCTTTTAGAAGAAATCATACCATACGTTTTGTTTTGTTTTGTTTTGTTTTGTTTTTTTGTTTTTGTTTTTTTGTTCTTTATTTTTTACTTTTTATTTCATATAAAAATGTGATTCCATATTTAATTTACTATGATCTCAACGTGAGTTACTAGTTAAAGTTGTTTTATCATGGTTATCATGGTAAATACTATGATCTTAACATGTGAATACATTCCTAACGAAAAATGATCTTTTAACTCTGAAGAGAAAGAACATTTGTGTCTAGGGATGCAATGGGGTTCGTATGACGTGTGTCAAAACCCCGTCCCCATTTAATTAAATGGGAATTTTGCACCCGAACGGTTTGGTTTATCAAAATTCATACCTGCTCCATTAGAAGATAAGTGACCCGCTCCATTAGAAGATAAGTGAACTCGTGCTCGTCTCGTCGGCCCTATTTTCGTATATTTTTTCATGGGCCCAAGCCCATTAATTGTTTGGACAACAAAATAGGTAACAACCCAAAAAATTTGAAGCCCATTGAAAAACAACCAATAGTAAAAGCTGACTGTGAGAGTTTATTAGGTTAGGTTAGTAAGAATTTAGTAATAAAAAATAAAAATAAAAATAAAAATAAAAAGATATATATGACGGAAAAAGCATCTTCCCTAATTTTGTCATGATTTATTTATGAGATAATTACACTTAACTCTTTTTTTATAAATTGTCTAAATTACATAGACCTTCTATATGGTGTCAAATATAACATCGTTAAATCAACTCGAAGATATTAAATAATTATTATATTTTTATTATTTTTTGCATAAAATATCTGTTTTTTTATTGACAAAATAGCCATTCAAACTTTCTAAGGACATTCTCATCTTCATCTTTAGGTATATATTTATTATGATATCAATAGATAAAAATGTCAAATTTTACAACAGAGAGGTCACTGTTACTCAGATCTGAGCCACATGTGCAGGGTAAGTTTGGGTGCAACACTTTCAAAGTAGGGCTCTTGTCCACTCCGCCACCCCTCATGGGTCATAAATCAAGATCTACAAAATTAATATTTTTTCATAAAAAAAGGAAGTAAGAATTTCTAATTTCCAACTGAAATGTTAGGTAGTTTCTCCTTCACTGATGATACACACAAGTAACACAACTAAGAAATATTTCTATATTGTTCTATCATCGGCAACTCAAAATACACTGTTCATATTTCATACCTTACATGGTCAAAATCATCACATGCCTTTTCATGCAGTCACGGAGGGAAACCCACCCCATCACCACATTGGGAACCCCATCACCTTTAACCTAATATTGCATAAAATTTTAATCATGTGTAATTATTGGAGTTTAGTCTTCGTCCTACTCTAAAGACTTATCTCTTTTTCATTTTTTTGTATTTATTGTTTTTGGGATATATTGGACCTATATATTTAATTTGGGATGTTTTAGACATCATATTTTATTTTGAGCCAATCACGTTATTATTTTCTAAATATTTTTTTAATTTTTGGGCCTTTTGTGATTTTAACTTTTGTGGGGCCACATTTAACTTTTTAGGATTTTGCATTATATATTTGTGTGTGTGTGTGTGTTAGACACAAAGGGAGAGCGGCCAGAAATCAGCCGCGACCCCCTCCCCCTTTTTCTTTTCTTTTTTCTTTTTTATTTTCTTTAGTGTTCTTGAGCTTAAGGGCTGATTTGATCTGTTTTCATCGTGATTTGTGACTCGCCGTAGAAGGGAGATATGATAAGGACACCATGTGGAGCAAAATCCTTTTTTCTGTTTTCGATTTTGGGTATTTCAAATTTTTGGGTCGAGTTCGGGTTTGGATTCAGAGGTAGCCTTAGGAGGCTTTGTTGTTCCCCTTGATGTGCACTACGTGTATCAATTATAAAACCACTATCTATAGCACAAATTCTTGTAGAAAATGGCTAAGTAAGGGCTAAGTAAATATGTGTGTATATTTAGAATTGTATAGGTGTAAACACCAAGGAATGAAAAATATGGTGGAAATACCAAGGAATGAAGAAGATGACTCCCCTTTCAGCTCCATAGCAACCCCCTTTTCCATAGACAAAACCTAATTTCTTTCTCACTTTCGCTCTCTAAAAACAATACAAAATTCAATATCCCAATGAATCTACAATATAGAGATATATATAACTGCTTTCCATAGTCAAACTCTAATTCAAAAACCCCTTAAATCGTGCATTCAAGTGGGGGAGAGAGAAGTTCAAAACTGAAAATCTTTTAACAGCTTATTTATTCGCAGGTGGGCGTTTGGACGCAGCGGGTGAAGTTCGGACGCATCTTGTCAGGGCTGGCATCCTTGAACTCGCAGGGTGCTTGTAACTGCTGCATCTAGCATGGGGCATCCAGACGCAGAGATGTGCCAAACTAAAATTTCGTTGGCTACTGGAATGTTATTTCAATTGCAATTGTTTAGCCAAATTTTCCACAGGACGTCCGGACGCCAAGTTTGTGCTTGGAAACTGCGTCTAGATGCTAGCTTGATTTCTGTGGCGACTTCATCTTCTTTGCCAGTCTTTTTGGGTCAACTTCCTTGTTCAAAATAGAATTGTTAATGATCTTAAGCCCTTTTGGTCGATTCCTCAGGTTGCCATGATCCATGTCTCTTAAAGTCCCATAAATCCTTGCTTTTATTCATTTTACGGGACAAGTCCTGAAATGTATTGACCTGGTCATTTTCCTCCCTTTCCTTTTTCTCAAATTTTACGGATAAAATTTTTTCGTTTAATTTTCTTTTCCGAGTTTTGTTTCTCGTCACTGGGTGTCATCTCGAGTGCTTGGAAATGGTTTCTGAGACTCTTTCGTTTGAATTGACAACTTCCTTTAAGGACCGAGTCATTTCCACATTTTCATTTTTTCGACACTATTCACTTTTCATCTTTTTCCCTATTTTGTCTTTTCCCCGTTTGTCACTTTTTGGCACAACCTTATTTTTCATGCTCGGAGTTGGTTTTTGACTTCACTTACCTTCATTCTAAGTGGTTTCCACAAAATATGTATCTTTACTTTTGTAGAAAAGTACTCTAGTTACTCTTGGTGTCCATAGAGGTATGGATGCATAATTCTTTGGAAACTTTTTCTTTTCTTGGGTTGTTTTTTGTAAATATCTTTTGAAAATATTTTATTTTAGTGGTTTTTAAGAAAATATTTTTGGAAGATATTTTCATTCTGGGTCATTAGTGAAGTTAACTTTTTTTGGAGGGGCCATTGTGCATTTAACGAAAGTTATTGCAAAAATACCTTGTTTTGAAGCTGGATCCTCGTACTGGATTTATTTTCACATTTCGTCGAGTCGTGTACTCTTAAAATTTCCTCCTGGTCGTTTTCCTCAGTTTTAGGGATTTTTGACCTTAGTTGTCGCCGAACTTGTTTGGGGCATATCTCTCTGGTCGGGACTCAATTTTTGACTCCGTTTCTTTTGTTGTTCATATTTTCTTATTTTGGTTCTTTTTCGTTCATAGAGTTTTGTCATTTAAGGGCGTTTGCTCAAATTCCACCTTTCCGGACTCGGCGGGGCCCTTTCGGGGCACTTTTTGAGATTTCTATAAATAGGTTGCCCTAATTTTTAAAGACAACTTTTCAGCTCTTCTTCCTCCTCTTGGCCTGCAGCCATGGCTGCCCAAGGGGCTGCCACTTCTCTTTCTTCTTCTCCACTTGATTTCCTTTGTATTTTGTCTTCCGCCTTTACGTTTATTGTAGGCCTTGTCGTGCTCTACCTTTCCCGCTTATTAGAATCCATTTCTAACCACTTTTGAGTTCGGGTTTCAAGATCAGGTTTGGATTTTCATGGTACCTCAAAGGTTAAAGTTGTTCCTCTAGTTTTCCCCGACATAACCTAGAAGTATTGTCGGATTCGGAGCATTTTTCTTTCGGTGGGGATTCGAGGTTTCATCCCAAATTGAGGTAGGGGATGTTATAGTTTATATTCTTGATGTATTGCATGTTATTGATGCTTATACAACTCATTTACATGTCTTTGTATTAAATCTAGAGATTTTATTATTTATTTTTCTTGTGTGAGACTTGATTTTCCCGATTGGTTATAGCTTGGTTTAAACATGTGGCATGACATTAAATTACATCTTGATATGTTCATTGACATAATTAAATTGAGGGCATTTGGACAAGTATTGAAGTTTTTATTTAATATTTTTCTAAAATGAAAATTTAATTCATGTAGCCTTATCTAGTTTGAAATTAATATGTGATGTCATATTATATTAGGCCATAGCATACTCTTCAACATATGTGAATTTGAGAGTAATTGGAAATGTTTTAAAATCTAAAGATAATTAATTAATTTATTCCAAGCGTACTATTCACTCAATTGGATATCCGACTTGATATTATTGATGTGCATGCCATATACTTTCACATATATTAAATCGGGAATATTTGATTAGGTTTTGAAACCTTTCCTTTAATATTTTTTCTTGTATGAAGGTTTAATTATCATGGTTGTAGTTTGCATGGAAATCACTTGTATTAGGCTATTAAATCAAGTCTTGGCATATTTTATAACATACTTTAATTTGAGAGCATTTGGATGAGTTTTAAAATCTAGAGA